TCTTCATCTGCCGCCATCAGTAGAGCAGAGACAGGTGATGCCTCCGGCCCGTGAGGGTCGGGGAGGACGGGTGAGTGACACACGCCAGATGCTGTGCCCGGAGCTGGGCTGCGGCTCCCCGGTAAATACATCATGGAGTAAAAATCACCCCGTACCTTCCAGCTGCTGCAGAGCCTGTCACTGGAGTAGACGTGTTGTCACATACACAAACGCGCACCAAATAGTATCTGTACGTGTGATTAATTAGCAGCTAACAGTTAATTCTTCGAGCCATGGGGGAAAAAAAGGAAGGGGGGGGGGAACAACTAGGAAAAAAAAAAAGCATGCCCTCAAAAGAAGATTAAAATTAACTATACAAAGTCTCTGAGGTTAAAAATTATAAACAAAATAAATCTGGGTTCCTCAGAACAGTGAAGGTGACAAGTCAGTGATATGTGTCTTTGTGCTATTTTACCATACCGAATTTTATCTTAAATTTCAGTTAATTCAGTGTCAGTGAAAACTACCAAGCCAGCAGCTCTTGAGCCTAAAGTCTTCTGCATCAATACAGACCCAGAGGCTGCACCTCAAAACCATCCCTGGGAACACCATGGTAACAGTTGCCAAGCCCTAAAAAAACAAAAAGCTTTTAGGGAGATGGAGCACAAAGACCGACTAGCTAAGAAAGAAGAACAACAATATTGATCTTAATTCATTTCAGCCATATTTGACCCAAGTAAACTCACAAGTAGTGCATGCAACTGAAAGTTAAGTATGTGTTGAATTCTGCAGACAGAGGCATTACAGAAAAAAACAGAGAGCAGAAATAAATAGGAAGCCTAGTGAAACCAAAGTTATCACCTCATAGAGAAGGCATTGCACAATGTAAAAGATGCACACAGCAAACAGACAAAAATTGCAAGGAACTGGAGTCAACAGAAAATCTTTAGTCTATAGGAGTACGAATACCACTATGTAGGAGTATCATTTATGAATCACTGTTCATATTAGCTGGTTTGTGAGCTGTCCAAGATGTTCATCGGTAACTTGAAAGTTGATATAAAATCACATCAATAAATTTTGCAGGTAACACAGTGACAAGAAGACTGGTGAGTAAGGTGGGAAGTGGGACATTTGGAAAGATCTGAGTGTCTTGCTAAGTCTTTTGGCACTTTGGAGAAGAAACAGCAGAGGAACGGAGCTGTTTGCAGCGTTGCACATCTAGGACCGAGGAAGGCAGGTGATGGAAAGGGTCCTGGAAAAGAAGGCTCTGCAAGGGGTCATAAGCAGATGTCACAAACTCACATGGGATCACCAAAGCTTTCAGCCTGGTTACCTGCAATCTCAGTCAGCTATGTAAGAGCTCAGAAGAAACACCAAAACAAACCCTGCACCACCAAAACCAACCAGCTGCACACCACCAAGCAGTTCAAGGTTTTTACAAATTCATAGTAATGCTCCCAAAAATACTGTGGTGATCACAGTGGGAAAGCATGTCAGCGTGATGTGTTTTTAAAATTCTGTTGTGGCAAAAAAAAAAAACCGCGACAGTCATAAACATCAGTTACAAAGAAGGTATTTTACTTTGTGTACACGTTCAGCAGGAAAGATGTTAGAACAGTAACAAGTTATTTTGTTAGCATTTTTAGAACAATGTTGAAAAAATGCAGAGGGTGCAAAGAAAAAGGTACAAAAATTTTCTGAGGACTGGAGAAATTGCAGTGGAAAATGAAAGAGCTGCATCTATTTTTTGCAGGGAAAAAATATTATGTGGAATAAAATAAGTTTCATAAGAGAAAATATTACATATGAAAGGAGTGTTTAACTAAGTGAAGTAAGGCATTACATGAACCAACAGCTGGAACCTGAAACCAGCCCAACTCAAGCTGGAAGTGAGAAACACTGAAGGCAGCAAACGGCTGCAGCAAGGGCTGGATTCTCCATTCGCCTCGTGGTATCTTCCAGTCGGGAAAGCTTGCCTTTCTGGAAACAGCACAAGTCTCCCTGTGCTGCTAAAAAAGTATATTATCAACAGCATGAAGTGTATGTAGTGAGATTGAGAAAACAGAAATGTCCCGTCTGGCTAATAAATTCTTAATCCTTTTATTGAACATTATGTTCACACCTCAAATTTTTGCACCCTGTGTGCTGGCAGGCTGGCACTGGCTGTAGGATTTCCAGGGAAGTGAACAACAAATGTGGTGGGTGCTATCACATTTCCCTGGCTTCTTTGTCCCAGTCTTTCTGAATGTTGTTGTTTGGTTTGACGATCTGTTTACCTGTCCAGTGAGCAGTTCACAGTGATACCCAAGTCTCCTTTTGTGAAAGGTTCCAGCTTAGTTAGAAGATAACTTTGACTTGATTTATAGGAATGTTTTCCGACACAAGTTGTAGCTTTCTGCATCTCACTCTTTATCAAAACCTGTTCTTCTTTATTCCTAACAACAAGATTTTCTTTTTGCATTGCCTCTGTGAAACTTTACCAGTGTAAGACCATAGGAATAGACCCATGCCAGTGTTTTAATGGTACACAGCCAATTTTTAATCCATGTCCTTCCTAAAAGTGTGCTTTCCTTCATTGCTGTCATAATTTTCTCTCTGAGATATCTCAGCTGTTTTTTTCCAAGCCTTTGTAGTTCCTTGTGTGACTCAACCCACCTAAAATTCTTTAGTTAGGACCAAGAAAAACTATTTATATATAATTGTAAATACAGAGTGAGATCATTAGTGAATATAGTTTCTGACCCTTGGTTTCCAGGATAATTTCCTATATCACGACTGACTTCACAGAGTGCACTGACCAGGCAAAACAATGCCAGCACTTTTGCATGAATGTTTGTATTGCTCTGCATTAAGGCACTGAAGTTTGCTCCTGTCTAACATTGGACAGTTTTACAGTCAAATAGCTGTTTATAAAAGAAACCAAATTCATTCCAAGCTGCTTTAGACCTGATTCCCTTAACATATGCTTGAATGTGAGGTAAAACCCCTAAATTCAGCCCCTGAGCAGAAATCCTCCAGGGGACACAACCTAGACCATCTTCTGTGTGGCAGCACCCACTTGCACGTGTTGCTATTACACTTGGGTTTTTCTTCATAAGAAGCAAATCCTCAGCCTTGGCAAGTGTCAGGTCCTACCTTTCGGGTTACTGTTGCAGAAAGTCTCTGGTGAAGAGCTCATAGAAACAGCAGGAAGGTACAACGTGTGTTCGGGGTGTGTGTTCAAATCAGACTCACCTTCTGAGAAACGGGCTCTTTTCCTTACGTCGTCCAGGTCCTTTGACATAAGCAGAGATCTCTGCGCGGTGGGAAAGCTCCCTAACTCTCAGGAGCAGGGACAGACAGGAGAAGCGAGATCCCATCGTCCCAGATGAGGTCCCTCAGTCTCTCGCTGCAAGGAGCGAGGGACGTTCCTTAGCTGACTGCTGTGTTTTGGATGCCAGCCACAGAGTGAGTCCTTCTCCGTGGCTATTTGCTTACTACTCAGGAGAAATAAAATGATAGAGTATGAGATACATTTGATTTTCGCAGGCCTAATACCAGCAGTTCTTCCCCTCGTTTACTTCTCGACCACCGACACAAAATTTCCTCTGATGGGGGAAGGAGCGGTGCTGGGGCTGAACCCCCCAGTCACGGCGTTCCAGGCTGCATTGCACTATGAAAAACAAATTTATCCAAGTAGAAGAGGGAGAAAGGAAACGTTTTAAATACTAATTTTAAACCTTGCACCTGGTGCAGAAAAAATTGAAACTTATGCTCATTAGGCACTGAAATATGATTTGGGCGAAGGACGGGCATTCAGAACAATTCCTAAATTACATTTTGGGGGAAACAAAATAGAGAAAAATATTAAATTCTAATTGTGATGACTTTCTGCTGAAATTAAATTAAAGACTTCCAGGTCTTCAAAATTTAAAGTGGTCTTTCTTTTCAGATTTTTCCCCGTAGTTTTGTAAACAACCAGCATTTAAAAACCAAGCAATATTCTTTCTCTCATATCTGATGGTTTTTTTTGGCTTTATTATAAATCCCTAAAACGTAACTTAAAACAGGTCTCTCTCTCTCAACCCACAACATGAAGTTGAATGTTTCAAAGAGTTGACATTGAAATGAGAAATTATATCTCTGTGTTAGAAACTAATCTCCTTCCTATGCATTGCCGTCGAAATTAGCAGTTCAGACGTATTCACCTATTTACGCCTCAGCATGTCGTACTCAGCAGACAGCTCGGGAGTAAATCCAGTTTACCGTCACCGTAAATTGTTCATTTCACGTATATTTAGTGTCTAAAAAATGCAAAAGCATCGCCATTCCCGGCATTTGTAATTACTCGGCGTTTCTGGGGATGTTCCTTTTCGGCAGGAACTGATTTTTTCCTCCTTTGCTTCATCAGTCCTTGCCGTTCCCGTAACTTTGGTGGCGGAGTTTGGGGGGACGGCGGCCCCGCCGTGATTTGAGGGGTTTACCCAGACCCCTGCCTTTCCCGGAGCCCCACTTCGCCCCCGTCGGGCAGCGTGGGGTGGCTGGGGGG